CCGCAGGGGCTTCTCGCCCGGCGCCTAGGCCGGACTAAAAAATAAAAAGACAAAACCACTTAATCACACATTAATCTTATATCTGTATCTCCACCGGCAGGTCAAACACCAGAATATCACCATCAAAGTGCCCTGGGCCGACTGGTGACGGTGGCGCCGGCCCTAGGAGTGTGGATTCCTGTTTTTCTTTCTTTTTTCTTTTCTGGGTGTAATTGTTTTGGACTTTCATAATAAACAATATTTTTCTACACATACGTTGTTGACTTCTTGTACTGTTTATTTAGGCTAAATGCGTATATTGTCTCTAAAATTTATATTAAAATAAATTATTCTGTAATTTGACACGTTAAAATTTTATTTTAAGAAATCAACGCAAATCTAGTAATTGTTAAATTTGAGATAATTTTTCAAAAATAAAAATTTAAGTTTCCAGCTCAATGTTCTCCGGATGCCACCATAGCATGGTAGTGCCAAAGCTTCTGCCATCAACACTGTCGCCACGGACTGCTTGAAAGCAATCCTATCAAGAAGGCGACCAAAACTAATCTCTGCATACAACAGTAATTCTAGCTCGACCTTCCTTTAGATTCATAGCTGCATCAGTGTTGCATTTTATGATCCCTTTTGGATGTGGTTTCCATTGAAGCGACCTTTCCTGCCCTTGGAAGTTGCATCTCCAACATGGTGGAGTAATTAGATCTTTGCCCTGAGCTCAAGATTACTTTTATTTGCATAATTTTAAATTAAATCTAGCATTAATTAATTAACTTCGATATTAATTAAATTCAACAATTCTCGTAACGGCGTCAAAAACTTGATATATTAAAATTACCTTAACAAGTGTACTAGTCGTTCCAAGTAATATAATAATGAGAAAAGTGTCAAAGCCACAAGAATTGCATTTAACTAAGTATAAAAATAATTAATCTAAATTTATTTGAATAATTGAAAAGAAAGAAAATTTAATTAAAAAAATAATAAAAAAATAACAATTAGATTAAACTTAACCAAGATATAAAGTACTAAGGCATTGATTTCACCATAATCAATTAATATAAATTTTGAATTAATATACTAATTTGTTGAGTGTTATTGCATGTGATGACGGATTTTCCTAAATTAATTAACTAGTTTTCTCAAGTCAAGTTAATATTTCACTTATTTGTTAAATTAATCATATTTTTATGTAATTTTAAACAAACTAATGAGTATTAAATTCTATGGAAACCACTAGTTTAAGAAGAGGGAGCTACTAACTCTCTTCCCTTCCTCCACTACCACATGTGAGCTACTTACCTCTCGGTTTCATAGTCTAGCACATGGTTTATATTATTATTGGTCTAATTTACGCAATTTTTTCTCAAATTCATGTATAAATCACTAAATCAATTAAAAGATGATCAGACTTCCAATGCATTAAATTCAATAATACAAACTCTTCATGCGAATAACTTTAATTGAAAAATATAAAATCACAAAATCTATATTAAATTAATTAAACTACATCGTAGCCCTAGTAGAATAAATCAATTCATAATAAAAATAATAAAATCTAAAATCATAGTTATGAACATAAGAATAAGAAAGAAGAATAAAACCCAATTTAAAAAATTGCAATTCCTGATCTCCTATTGTTCAATTCTCTTTTTTGATCTTGAAGAATGCCCAAAAAAAAGGCTGCCACTAGCCTCCACCTAGCTCTTAATTCTGAATTTGGATGTGTATTTATAGGATTTTAGAAATCGTAATTGAAATAGAAGTAAGACTTGAAGCATAATAGGAAAGTTGAAATTTGGATGCTGAACGCATAGTGCAGACACCTCGAATTACGTATCGACACAAAGCAAGAAACATAAAGTTTGGTTCTAGACTATTACCGCATGATATCGACACTCCGATTATGTGTCGACACTACACGCGTGTCGAGTTTCTGGCCTCCTTTTGCAATTTCTTTAATGGTAAAATGACAGATTTGTCCTCCAGCTTTTGTATAATGAGCACTAAGATCCCAAAACTCAAGCTTCATTCATTAAGGTCCCAAAAAGGTGCCCTTCTTCTTGCGATTCAATCCCTCAACTTTGAGAAGATGTTCAATTTATCTCAAAAACTCCTATTATTATGCATTCAAGTCTTTTTCTGCATAAAGAATGAAAACCATGTAAAATCTCATAAAATTCATGCAAATACTAATAATATCAAGGCAATAATTCCACATTAATATGTATATAAATTTAGCACATTAGGCATACTCTCACAAAGACATAATATATTTAAAGAAGGAATTTTTTATCTTATGCCCTTGAAGCATAGGATAAAAATGTAATAAATACACATTTTTATAATTAATATATATAAGAAATGATGAAAGTTAATTTGAATTTAATTAATTAATTAATTAAAATTATCTACATGAAAATAACACTAAAATAAATGTTAACTTTTATTTTTTTTATAAATTAATGATAAAAAAAATATATTTATTTTACCTTAACCTGTACCCTTTAGACAAACACTTTAAAGAATATTACTCTAAAATTGGATAAATATTAGATTTAAGACTATTTAGTATAGTAGTTTGGGATAATAATTAATGATTTGATCCAAACCATTAAGGGTAAATATTTAATAAATTTATATATTTTAAAACCATTACAAATAAGATGTCTGGTAAAAATATTTACTTAGCAATTTATTACTAATAAATAGTAATTAAAGTTTAAACCACTGTCAAAACTTTCAAATTCACTCTTAAAAAATATCGATAGGGATAGATTCACCTCTCACAAAAAAAAAGGGGATAAATTACTTTTCCAAATTATAAATCAAGATAAATCATTCATTTTTTAACTTTTTTTCATTAAAAAATATTGACGTGGCAAACAGAATTCTAACATTTTTCGTTAAAAAAGAGGTGATTTATCTTAATTTATAATTTTGAGGTGTAATTTGTCCCTCTATTTTTCTGAGAGATGAATGTATTCCTACTGATATTTTTTACGGGTGGATTTGATTGTTTTGCCTAAACCACTACTGACTTGAAAAAACTAATTTAGGTAGTTTTTTATATTAAATTACTAGTGAATTATAATTTTTTAATTTTATTAACAAATTTATCCATTTCAATTTTTTAATTTTTTTCCCATGATTTTTAATTAATATTTATTTAATTAGTTTTAGTTTCATTTTTATATTTAATAACATTAAGTGATTATTTTTATTTTTATATTAATTTATTGTAAAAAATATTA